AACTGTTCCAAGGTAATGCAGCAAAGAAGAGACTCCAGAACTCCCAGCTTCCATGATGACCCATAAGATCTCTTCATGTAGCTCCACTCAGATCCCACTGCAGCCTCCATTCATTTGTTTGCCTGTATCAGGCTCCACAGATAGAGTTACAGGGCAGAGGCATATGCTTCCCCTCCTCCCCCCCATTATGAAGTCTAAACTAGACTCTGCCTTTGAAGTACCTGTAGAGTGAAGGATCCAATAGCCCATACATCTCCTTTTCCTCTGAAGAGAGTCCAGCAAGCATATAGTAGAAGATATGGAAATTCCTCTCATCAGTATCTTGATGCACTACCCGTGATTTCTCTAAGAGGTACTCACTCAGCTTCGCACCTTGCACTGCACACAAGAATGTGAGAGGGTAAACTTTGCATTTGGGGACATGAAGCTGACTGAGCTGTCCTGCATCTCTTATTTGGTGACAGGAGCATGGAATTGTCCAAAATTACTTTCTTGCGTGCAACACCCTCTAGGCTGCCCAGCACCCTGGAAATGCGCTTCTCCATGCTTCCCATCATCTTAGAAATGTCTGCTCACCTCCTTTAGCAGCAACCAGGGCTTCTGGCACCACAGAGTATTACTGATACTTCCCCTGCACTGTCACTCCCATATCCTTCCAGTACTCCCATTGTCTAAACCCAGGCCTTAGCCTACAGCTGTGGTTGCTGTAAGCTTTTACTTAATTGCACACCTTTCCCACAGGGAGTCAGATGTCAAAATTTCACCTTCTGCAAGTTCTGGCTACCCAGTCCACTCCCTCCAATGCCTAACCAGCCCCCAAACTAGTAATTACCCTTGACTTTACCTGTATTATTCTGGAAACGCAGCTGTATGTATTTTCCAAAGCGGCTGCTGTTGTCATTCATCACAGTCTGGGCATTGCCAAAAGCTTCAAGCAATGGATTCACCTAATACAAGTGAGAAAGAAAAACAAGCAGTCCTCAAATTAAGTGATCCAGTCTAACTTACTTGGAACAGTTTAACCTTAGCATTTACTATTCGGCATTCAGCGGGAATAGGAACCTCTCCATGAGTATCCAAAAGCACCTATTTTATCATACCCTAGAAAAAGGGACTGAAAGAGGCAAATACAATGAAGACTAAGCAGCATTCAGATTACTGAAAATAAGCACAATCAAACTGATTTGATCTCGGTGAGATCATTGACTCATTTGTTAAAAGACAAGGTTGGTTTCCATAAAGCATCTGACATCGTATCACTAGATAATTTGACTGCTATACTACAACAATAAATGAGGTAAACATGGCACTCAGTAAATGTAAGCATGATAACTCAGCTACTGAAATTTGTAGACAGCATAAGGCTCAGGACAGTGAATTATAAAGAAACTAAGAGAACAATCACACCAGCTTGGTAAACGGGATGCAAACAAGGCAAAACGACAATTTTTCTCTATTTGAGCAAAGATGCCTGTCAACTGGAAGAATGATGCCTTAGGGTACATGCTGGGCAGCCTTTTTTTTTTTACAGCATGACACTGTAATCCCAGAAGTGCTAACTTAGTCCTTGAATATATCTAGAGGAATCAAATAAGATGCCTATTATTTCTTCACCATCTCCTCCAGGCCTTCCAAGCACAGCTCACCTGGATTGAAGTGAACTTTGTTTCCAGTGGAGGAATTGCAGGCTGGCTCCAGGCACTACGCTGAGCAAACACAGCTATCCTGCTTCCTGAACATGCTTAGGTCAGAAGCAGCTGGGCAGTGTGGCCCAAACCAGCTCTAAGCAGAGCCAGCAGGTATATCAATGCCACGTTCCCACAACAGAGCACAGGCATTCACCTCAGACCCACCATGGATGATACTACACTGAAATAATATGCCATTCCAGAGCCCAGAGCATGGCACAGTGTATTTGCTTTACGTGACAAGGTTTCGGTAGCAGAGGGGCTACAAGGGTGGCTTCTGTGAGAAGATGCCAGATGCTTCCCCCACGTCCAACAGAGCCAATGCCAGACAGATCCAAGACAGATCTGCCACTGGCCCAGGCTGAGCACATCAGCAACAGTGGTAGTGCCTCTGTGATAACATATTCAAGAAGGGAAAAAAGTTGCTATACAAGAGCAGCTGGGAAAGTTGGCAGGAGAAAATATGTGATAGAAACAGCCCTGCAGACACCAAGGTCAGTGAAGAAGGAGGGGGAGGAGGTGCTCCAGGGGCCACAGCAGAGATTCCCCTGAAAGCTTTAGTGAAGACCATGGTGAGGCAGGAGGTCCCCCTGCAGCCCATGGAGGTTAATGGTGGAGCAGATATCCACCTGCAGCCCGTGGAGGACCCCACAACAGAGCAGGTGGATGCCTGAAGGAGGCTGTGACCCCATGGGAAGCCCCTGATGGAGCAGGCTCCTGCCAGGACCTGTAGCCCTGTGGAGCGAGGAGCCCACGCTGGAGCAGGTTTGCTGGCAGCACTTGTGACCCCGCAGGAGACCCACACTGGAGCAGTCTGTTCCTGAAGGACTGCACCCTGTAGGAAAAGACCCACGCCAGAGCAGTTCATGAAGAACTGTAGCCCATGGGAAGGACTTATGTTGGAGAAGTTCATGGAGGACTGTCTCCCACGGGAGGTACCTCATGCTGGAGCAGAGGAAATGTGTGAGGAGTCCTCCTCCTGAAGAGGAAGGAGTGGCAGAGCCTCCGTGTGATGAACTGACCCCAACCCTTATTCCCTGTCCCCTTGCACTGCACAGGGGGAGGAGGTAGAGAATTCTGAGTGAAGCTGAGCCTGGGCAGAAGGGAGGGGTGGGGGGAAGATGGTTTAAGATTTGTTTTTACTTCTTATTATCCTACTCTGATGTTAATCGACAATAAATTCAATTAATTTTCCCCAAGTTGAGACTGTTTTGCCTGTGACAGTAACTGCTGGTCCCTGTCCTCATCTCAACCCACAAGCCTTTTGTTGTATTCTTCTCCCCCTGTCCAGTTGAGGAGTGAGAATGCTAGAGCGGCTTTGTGGGCACATGATGTCCCACCAAAGTTAACCCGCCACACACAGAAAGATCCCTCTGGCTCTACAGCAAACCTGAAAACACAGACTTTAAAATTAAGTAGTCCAAGAACTCACTCTGCTTAATCTATCACACTGAAGGTTAAAGTATGATTTGGTCAAAAAACCTCACAGCTCCTTGGGGATCAAATCAAGTGGAAATACTTCAGACCAAAGAGACAAATACAAAATCAGCTAGCAAAGGTGTATGAAAACAGCAAAGATGAAGTTATCCAGTTAGCAGGTATGTGCCTGACAAGTGTAAGTAGCCATGGAAAGGTGACTGTGTGGATTCTCCACCCATTAAATCAAGACTTCATTTTTCTAATAAAAGTCCTTGTACTACCTCTAACAGGAAATTATTCCGAAAAATGCCCCTAATCCCTTGTCACAGAGAACATGACAAACAACTGCGATAGTTTTCCATCATTTAAGATAACCACCACACTCCCAGCAAACAGAATTACTGACCTACCGACCTTCTAATTTGTGATCAGCTATCTCAGCATCCTTACCCACTACTTTCTCATGTGTCCTATGTTTTGCTCCCTGATTTCCAGTGGTGATTCCTCAGCAGACTTCCTGAGCCTAACTCAAGTTGTCTTCCAGCAGTGCTTCTTCTGCATTTTCAAGCACCATCCTGTAATGACCCACCTGAAGGATCTGCTGCTCCAGCTGCGAGTTGCCTTTGCATAAGTTCATTATGTGCTGCAACAATAGCTTCGTACTCTCTGTTTTCCCTGCCCCGCTCTCTCCACTGCCAAGAAAAAGCAAAGGAAATTCCATCAGCTGTAAAGTATAATTGTTCTGCCCCTTATGTCTTAGTGCCCCATCACTTGAGAATGCCCTCCTGTCCAAGAACTTCACAACTTTTCCAGCTAAACTGCATGCATGAGAACAAACTCAGATCACAGCTTTACACAGTGGGTCCCACAAGGGCCTGATCCCTCCCCAGGGGAATTTTTCCCAATCTGCAAGGGAGTACAGATATACCCCATGTCGTCACTTCTGGATGGGGTGTACCAGACAGACCGTTTGCTCCACTTTTTAAGAAAAAAATATATCTAACTTCTGGAAAACAACCTCCTTCAAAAGTGATCTGATATATTGACTCCCCCACATACACTGGAGTCAACAGCTTCCTCTTTCTTCAAAGAGATTTGCCCTATGCATCTCACATCCACAACTTGAGCACTGATCTTGAGATATGGAAGCAATCTCAAATCTCAGGCACTTCACATGTTCACATGCAGCAGCTGGTTGGGAACGTGGGCACACTGCCTCAGAGCTGCCCACACACCCACAGCGGCAGCGGTGCACGTCACTCTGCCATCGCATGTGCCCAGCACCTCCGCCCCTAAGCCAAACAAGCAGCACTTGGAAAGCACAGTTTCCCCTGTCCTGGGAGGGAGAACGTACAATCAGTGAGACAACGTGTCCTTGACTGACAACATCATACCAGCAAGAAATTCAGCATATGCATAGAAAAAAAATATGCAGGAAATGTTGAAGGTATACTTGAGGGCAGGTCTCCATTTCCACTCCTGACCTTTGAGCATCTGGTGTGGCTTTACTGCTTTGTAGCTCACAGTGGCTCTGTGCTTGGAATCAAGTATGCATCATAAGTGAGTAAATACCTCAAATACTACAACAGATACCTGATCTGAAGCACAGATCAGGCCATCACCATCCAAATACACACAAAAAATGAGATCTTTTTGCCAGTTGAGAACATGCCATCCAGACAGCGCCCCTGTTCAGTATATAAGATGTGTTTTTTTGTTTTGAGTGACTTCCTTCCTCCACAAAAGCACTACTGGTCAGCACTCCCATGGTTCAAGCCTGTCCTTGCACCGTCCAACAAGCGCAACAGCTTCACCAGGTCCTTCAAACACAATCCAGCTGCAGGTGTGTAACTACCCCAGGCTGTGAAGAAAAGCAAAGTCACCTCCAGGAGACAAGTGCTGCACCACGGCATACCTAGGCTGTAACTAACGTCAGTTGGGACTGTGAAGGCAAGAGGAACTCGTGGAATTTGCAGCCCCAGACAACTTGATTTGTCACCTGGGGCAGCTGCTTCGCTCAACATCAACCTCTGAAACATGCCATCCAGATGTCCCAGCCTAAGTTGGAGAGACCAGAGAGACCAAAAAGAATAGCAGAGCCTGGTGCATCCCTGTGCTGTTGTGATGAACTGTGGTCTAACAGAAGTGACTTCCTCCTCCCCCTCTGCCTCAACTTTGCTCATGGCAGGTAATCTTACCAATGAGTGTTTCACCACTCGCATAGAGCAAAACCATGAACTGTGACAGCAACACATGGATCAGTTAATAGGGTTGCAAGACACACAGAAGGAGCTCAGACTCTCATCTCTGAGAGCACAAACTGCTGGCAGAGAACAATCAGACCACTGACTTCTTGGCAAATACCCACAGGTTACTCTTTCTTGTCTTCCATCTCCCAAGAAAACTACTATGTACTATGACTGTTCTCCATGCCTAAGAGCCCTACCAGCAGCACCTCTGCCACAGCCACCACTTCATGACAGCACTTCATATAAAGCACAGACACTGATGGCCTGCAGGCTAGAGAAATGAGTGGGGTTCAAGTGACCCTCAAGATCAGCTCCCAGTGCCACCACAACACTCAGCAGTAATCCAGCAAGTCATTCCCACACCATGTAGACTGAAAATACTGACAAAACGATCGGAAGGCCAATATAAAGAAGAGAATATTACACCAAACAATCTGGCAATTAACATTTTAACCGAGATGACATTTAAACTGTTCTCTACCAGAAAAGGCAGTTACGTGTTTTGAGGTTTTCTCCTCAACGCTGAGGCTTTCTCTGCTAGTTGATGTTTTTTGAGGCTTTCTCTACTATTTGCATCTCTACTAGATGCTATCTGCACTGCTTCAGCAGAACAACAGTGACATCATGGAGTGAAATGCTCATGACACTGGTACGCTCTTTGTTAGAATAGCCCTTGTAGTGCACAGAACTGCCCATGACAATAAGGTTTCCCCTGACCAGATTCCCAAAGGTCTTAGGGTACGAAAGCTTCTGTTTTGCTTTCTCCTGCTCTTTGTTTATATATGGGAAGCTCCACTTCGGAAAAACAGGTTCCTTTCATTATGTATAACCTACTTTTATTGCAGCAGTTACAGGTGAGAAGAGCACCTCACAGCTTTCCCCACAGCTGGTTAAGTCTTTCCAATGCCACATCCCTCCAGAAGCAAGCCCAACTTATTTAGCTGCGTGACCAGCACCGCAGCTGCTCCACAAAAGCCAGTGCTGTTTGCCACGCACCTCTGTTTGCGACCTTCCCGCTCCCCTGCCGCGAAAGCGGGCAGGTCGGGAAGCGCGAAGGGCTGAAAGCGCAGCTGGGTTTTGACTCCCCAACAGCATCAGTGATGAGCTTCGCCTGAAACCTCAGCGGGGACAGCCCAGAGAGGGTTCGCTGGCCGCCGCTCGGACCCTCACCTCTGCCTGGCTCCGGCGCGACCCCGGCCCGGCTCGGCCGCCCACCCAGACCTCACCTGATGACGATACACTGGTTCTGGGGCCCACCGCCCC